TAGCGGCACATTTGGCAAAATAGGAAACTGTTGAGTTCAACAACAGGGTAATGCACCTTCGCCAAGAACATACAAGAGAAACCACAGGGAAAATAAGAATATTCAAGAAAGAGCCAAAAAGAAGCGAGGAAAGAGAGAGTAGCCAAATCCCCCTAGTAAATAGAAATTCTAACTATTTGAGGATCGTGAGTTAGCCCTATACCTTAAAAAAAAAAAAAAAAAGCTAGAATTGAGAAATACAAAACGTCCTACCTTTCACCTCTGTCACTACATATTATATACTTTACATGCCACTGGGACAAAGGGACACTGAAAATGAAAGGATCCTGAGAAAACGGAGTCTATTTAGGGTATCTCTGTTTCAAGAAGCTGAAATTCAGGATCTTTATGTTTAATATAAAAATCCTAATAATATGTGTATTTTATATATATGTATAAACTTGTAATCTGAGGGCACCCTTCTTTTCTCTCCTCTCTTCTTCATAGTGAATTCTAGCTGAGGGGCATTAACAGGGAGGCAGTATAGCAGAGAAGTTAAGAGCAGAGGTTCTAAAAGCGGGGAGGGGATGCAGAGGAAGGCAGGACACAGGTTGCGAAAATTGAATTAGTAGATTCTGAGTTTTTTTGGTAAGTTCAGCTCTTTCTTAGGCACTGGCAGTACAGAGAGACTTAGTCAAAAGACTCCATGATTTATACATAATAGAGCACGTGGGGGCACAGTTCCCAACACTTCTGAGACATAACCAAACACCTTCAAGTGTGGTTTTCTGAGTTAAATGGCTTAGGACCATAGTCTTGTGTGACAACTCGATCAATTAGCATAATACAGTTTGTAAAGTTTATGTTCTATATCCTAGTTTGGTGAGTAGTGTCTGGGGTTGTAAAAAATGGTGTGGTGGAGGCGTCTGACTTCCTCCAACTTCAGGAAGGGGAGAGAGAATTACCATTAGCATCAGCCCAAGGTTGATTCCTATGAAGCAGAGGTTAGACATACCTCCTCTCTCCAACCTTTTTACCAGTTCTGGCACCAGCCATCCTTCCCACAGCACTCTCTACTTCTCTGCTGGGTTTGATAGTTCGCTGCAATGGCCACACAGAACTCACAGACAATGCTCACGATTATGGGGTTTATGACGGAAGTAACAGGTTATAATTCAGGATCAGGAATGACTCAGGAGATAGTTCTTCGGTCAGGACAGCTTCTCAGCCACACCTACAGGCAGGCCTCTCCCTGGCCTTTGGCCTTTCCCTGGCCTTTGGCCTCTCAGCCCTAGGCCCCTGGGGCTTCTTGGGCCTCGTGGACTGGCCCAGCCTCTGCCCTGCTTGGGCAAGTGTTACAAAGCTCTTTAGCTCCACTGATAAGTGCCCAGAGGTACTCTACTCTACCAGCAAGCCTCGGCCTGAAGGCACTCAGCTCTCTAGCCCTGTGGATCAGCAAGCCTAGCTCCACCAACAAGTGCCCACAGGCACCCCACTGTACCAGCAAGCCTCCTGCCCAAAGGCACTTGGCTCTCTCACTCCATGGGTTGGTGGGTTGATGAGACTATCTCCATCAAGTGCCCAAAGGCATTGATTGCACTCCACCAGCAAGCCTCCTCCCTGAAGGCACTCAGTTTTTCGCTCTGTGGGACAGGAAGCCCACTGCGCCAATGCCTGGTTCTACTACCACTGCAGCCATCGTTTCTCTGCTGCTGCTTCTTGCCATCTCCAGTGTTACAGCTCTCACTGTCTCCTGGGTCTAGGAGGGTCTCAGCAGAGGGATCCTGGGTCCAAAGGACGTGCCCCAATCCTAGCTTTTCTTTTTTGGTGGTAGTGAGCCTCCTCTTTCCGCCTCTGGGATAGCTCATTTTCAGCCTAGCAGGATGGCAAAACTAACCAGTCCCCTCGTTAGGGTTCCATACACCTTATTAGCATGGTCCCCCCCAACAACGGTGCCATGCACCTTATTTGCATTATTAACAAGCTGTCCAATTCCCTTGGTGGGCCACAAACACCTTACCTGCATAGTCCCACCTAATCATTTGGTGGGAGTTACAAGACCATGGTGAGAACAGCCATATAAAAGCCATCCATCAAACCACAGGGGTCTTAAAAGCTTGCAAGTGGCCATCTAAGATACAACTATTGGTCTCTACTCAACCAGAGCAAAAGAGAAAGAAGGAAATCAAAGACTCAAAGAAGAAACTAGTCTACAGGACTGACAGTCTATACAAACCACGACCTCATCTACCCTGAGACCAGAAGAATTAGATGGTGATCAGCTACTACTACCAACCATTCTGATCAGGGCCACAATAGATGGATCCTGTTAGAATGGGAGAAAAATATGGAACAGAACTTCAAATTCTTAAAAAAAAAATCCAGATTTGCTAGACCCACTGAGACTAGAGTGCTCTCTGATAATATTGCCCTGAGATAGTCTTTAAACCTTGAAGTGAAACTAGCCCCTGAGGTCACCTTTTAGCTAAATAACACTGGCTCACAAAATAAAGAATATCACCCATGAGTACTGTGCTCCTTTAAGAAACCATCTATATGAGACCAAATGGTCAACAATTACTTTAAAACAAAGATGAGAAGGTAAGGGGGCAGGGAAACTAGATTAATGGAAACAGAACAACCATAATGGAAGTAATGAGAATGTTCATGCATTGCGAAGAACATAACCAATGTCACTGAACAATTTGTATAGAAATTGTTGAATGGGAAGCTAAACTGCTGTGTAAATCTTCATTGAAAACACATTACTTTTTTTAAAAATGTAAAATAAAAAATAAAACCATGAAAAAAATATCTTGGATGTAAGTCCACTAAAGCAGTTCTACAAGCATAAACCAGAGCAAATATCCCATTATCCTACAGACAGATAACTCTACCTTTCTTTCACTGAATCCCTCTCCAATGGATTGTAGATCAAAACAGAACAAGCCCAAATAAGCTGTTTTCTAGAGGACTTGTATGAAATCACAATTTTAGGCATCATTCTAAATTTTTAATGCATACTGGATGATGTGCACTAAAGGGATGAACTGCCTAAAGGGATTATGTGACAAATCATTTTGAAAAGAATCAATGATAAATTCCTCTAATAAAAATAGGTTTTCATATGGAGAGTATGCTTAAAGTAGACTAACCTACAAATAAGCGAATAGTGCCCTCACTGGGACTAGCTGAGCAGTAAGATTGACAGAGGATGTTAAGCTATGGAGTGGTACCTGTTGGCAAAACAGGTAACTGTCTAATTTGTGTTAATTGAGGGACACTAGTAAGACCCTCTGCCCCAAAAGACAACTACCACTCCTCAAAATGGCTTGCCCATCAATGCCTAAAATTCTTTCACTGTGACTTACTCCCTTGGTTTAGGTGTTTCTATTTTCTACCAATACGCTCTGGAGGGATATCAAGTCTCAAATATGTTACAGTGTGAATTTACCAAATTATTTTACTCTGTGACAGGAAAAATGAACAATACAAGTAACTTGGTAGGAAGAAATAACAGCAGGAGAGAAATGAGGAAGGATTCAAATGGGGAGTGCTATGGTTTGGTTTTGCCTGTTTTTCCAATGCATTCATTACTACCTCTTGTTCCCCAGAAAATTCAAAGGCTAGTTACTGGGTCTTCAAATTATCTGGAGTTCTTCAACAGAAGTTTAAACTCTTTCAAGATAGTATCTTCACAGTTTATCTTGGCAATGATACAATGTGTCAGAAAAGGGAGAGCACTGTAATTTAATTCTACCTCCCGAGCTGAGTGATGGAAACGCTGGTGGCGTAGTGGTTAAGAGCTACGGCTGCTAACCAAAAGGTCGGCAGTTCAAATCCACCAGGTGCTCCTCTGAAACCCTATGGGCCAGTTCTACTCTGTCCTACAGGGTCACTATGAGTTGGAATCGACTCAACGGCAACAGGTTTAGTTGAGTGATGGAGCCCTGGTGGCACAATGGTTCAGAGCGTGGCTGCTAACCAAAAGGTTGCCAGTTCGAATCCACCAGTGGCTCTGTGGGAGAAAAGACCTGGTGATCAGCTCTGGTAAAGATAACAGTCTAGAAAACCCTATGGGGCAATTCTACTCTGTCACGTAGGGTCGCTATGAGTCGGAATGGACGCACGGCACACAAGAAGTACAAAAAGTTGTGTATTTTCCATAAACTTTACATCATGTTCAAACTGCTAATCTCTGCAAATGATTTTACATTTTAACTTTTCTCCGTTTTTTAGTGAAATTCCTCAATTTCCTCTTTTATCTTAAAATTTCTTTCTCTTCTTTCCCTCAGTCTCAATGTCCATGACCCCATTTCCCCCATTCTCTTCGTCACTTTTGACTCGACGTTCCGTTATTCAACAATTCCTCCCTCTACTGGCTCCTTCCCTTCAGCCTGTGAACTGCTCTTCTTGCCCAACCTAAAACTGTAACGCCTTGGGTTAGTCTCTCTCGTCTCTTCTTCACAAAATTAATCCCTTCTTTTATAAACTTTTCAAGGTCTTTCAGGTCTTTTTGGCTGTCCGTATGATTTGCCTTTAAAGATGATTCCTTCCCCTGGCGCATTCCCGTACCCAGCGCCTCTGGCCCCAAATATGCTTCAGTACCTCCCACAAACGAGCGTTGTCTGAGAATGCTTGTTTTAACTATCTACCGTACTTCCCAACCCAGCCACCCACTACAATCTAAAGGCGTTATCATTGGATGAAAAAAGGCGGGGAAACGCGGCCCTATTTTACTCGCCCCCCCACCCCCACCCCCAACTGGCTTGGGATAACTCTCCGGCAGACACTTAAAATACCGTCTACAGGAAACGTCATCTACTCCAGAGCCCAGTTTCGAAAAACCCACGGCAGAAGAGTCATTGCTGTAGCCTGGGAGGGGGATCCACTCTTTTCTACTCTGTTACAGCCCCCAGCCTGCTTCGCTCACACCCCCTCCCGCACTCAGCAACTCATCACAGCACCCTGTGTTGTCACCTTGGGTACTCCCTTGACGACGCCATAGCCGTCCCACACACCTGAGTGACCAGCCCCGAAGCTACGAAATGGCCCAGCAGTAGTCCAGCAGCGTTTGACGCGGACGCTGGATCCCAGGGGTTAGCAGCAGCCATGGTTCGGACGCACCAGCCGCGGTGCCGCGGAAGGAGAACGGAATGCAGACAAAAGAGCGGCGCGGAACGATGACGTCATAGGGCGTGGCCTCCCGGGCGGAAGCCCGGGGAGCGCGTCCCAGGCGAGCTCGGTTGTTGTGTTTTTCTCTGCCAAGAGGTCTGTAAACTGAGAGGTAGGATGCGAGTCCGGGGCTCCCTGATCCTACATGGACTCCCAGAAGCGCCTGGCCTCGGAAGAGCTGCAAAAGCGGCCGACCTGGTGGCCGAGCTCTCTGTCCTTCCCTTTCTTGCCACTGTGGGGCTGGCCCCCTGGAACCAGGGATTGGCGGGAGGTGGCAGCTGGGGCTTAAGACCCAACCGGGAGGCCGACGGAGTGGCCGGGTGCCTGAACCGGGCGGTGACAGTTCCGCTTCCTTCCCGCAGGGACCTGAGCCGCGGCGATAGGATGGGAAACAGTGCCCTCCGCGCTCATGTGGAAACCGCGCAGAAAACGGGTGTGTTTCAGCTCAAGGATCGCGGGCTGACCGAGGTGAGACTGGGAGGATCTGACCAGGGTATATTTAAGGGGAGAGGGACGGCGGGGCGGTGAAGTTAATCCGTGAGGGGTTGTCCACGCTGTGAACCCCTTTCTCCAGTTCCCCTCAGAGTTGCAGAAGCTGACAAGCAATCTCAGGACCATCGACTTGTCCAACAACAAGATCGAGAGCCTGCCGCCAATGCTGATAGGGAAGTTCACTCTGCTGAAGAGCCTCTCCCTGAACAACAACAAACTGAGTATGGCTTCTGCGCCTGGGAAGCTTTTGCTAGTGATCAGGTGTTAAGAAGGGTGGTTTTCTCTTACAAGCTGATTTTGTTGTTACAAAACCGTTCAGAGGGCTCGAGATGCTGGAGAATATCAGCGTCTTTGAAGCTCTTACTCTTGTAATTACATATACAAGCCTCCTCGGGTGGTATGATGATTGGTACTGGGTCGAGTAGGACTTGAAAGGGAAGAAGGATCTCTGGGATATAATGTAAACAGAGGTACCTAATTTAGAGCTTCCAATTTGAAGGGGGGATGGAATGGGAAGAGGAGGACTTTCTAAATCCCACAAAATTGCTGTTGGATTGTGCCAGCGCCCCTTTACAAAGGGAGCCCATTATACACCATTGCTCTCCTACATTTTGATGGCACCCTCACCTTCTGAAGATTACATTGGTCAAACGCAATACTTAAAAATGGCACATGTAGAAATTCTACATATTTTAACAAGATGCGAAGCAGGCTGTTATATGTCTTTAGAAACATCAGCAAGGTGTTTTTCAGCTGTATTAGATTCAGGTTTTTAAAAAATTTTCTTTGCCAGCTGTTCTGCCTGATGAATTATGCAATCTGAAAAAACTAGAGATGCTAAGCCTAAACAACAATCACCTGACAGAGCTACCATCTACCTTTGGGCAACTGTCTGCTCTCAAGACCCTGAGCCTCTCTGGGAACCGGCTCCGAGCACTGCCACCCCAACTGTGTAGCCTACGGCACCTGGATGTGATGGATCTCTCTAAGAACCAGATTCGTAGTATACCTGACATAGTGGGGGAGCTGCAGGTCATCGAACTCAACCTCAACCAGAACCAGGTCTAGAGCTCAAGGATTTTTCCTAAAGCATGTGTGGGTTTATTGTCTCCTGAATAACTCCTTGTTCCCTAAACTGTAATCATAGAGAGCTGGGTATCAGAGGCTAGATGAGCTGGATTAATGTCAAAGCCCAAAGTGCCAGAGTTAGTTCGGATGTTGAATGTGTTTGTTGTGTAGGTGCTTTTTGGAGGGTGGGATGGATAACAGGGTGAGAGAATTGCAATAAACTGCCTCACAAATCTTGATGAGTTCTTCAGATCCTCATCAAATATGCCCCAATCATCTACTAAGGAGGTGTGTCAGGAAGATAGGTAGAAAACAAACTGGAACTCAGGCTCTGAGTTGGACCCATCAGAGGTTACTTAGTTCAGTTGTCTTTGACATGTCAAGTGTGTGCCCTGCTTTTGCTGAAAAATTCAATGATAAGGTTTCTGGAGACAGCGCGTTTAATTGTTGGACAGCTTTAATTATAAAATTGCAAAAAGCGTTATTGGACAACACTCAGCATCCAGTTTGGGGAGTTTATTTTAGAAAATGATTATAGTTTTTCAGTTGTGATATGTTCAAGTTTACTTTGGATGAAGGCATATCGTAAACTATAAAACAATATAAATGTTAGGCATTATTGCATACCAAAACATTGCCGTCTATGGACTTTCTCTGCAAGAAATGTTGGTTTCCCTAAAATGCTTATCTCTTTATAATGATCCTAATTTATTTTTGCGAAAAGGAAAGCCTAAGTGACGTGTAGTGTCCTTAAATTATGATAAAATTCAGTCAGTCTTTGAGATTGGCCTGTTTCAAGTGGAGATTGTTGCATTCTTGAGATTCTGGGGGGAAGAAATTGTGAATCATTTAAGCAACAACTATAGGGTCACTGAGTCGGAATCGACTCAACGACACACATTAGTTGAGCACTTACTCCATATTCAGCTCTACTGATGCCTCAGTCAGTGGTTCTGAGATTTTAATAATCAAGAAAGCTTGTTAAAAGAGATCTCTTGCCCCTGCCCCCACAAGAGTTTGAGATTCAGTAGGTCTGGAAAGGGGTCTGAGAATTTGTATTTCTAACAGGTTCCCAGGTGATGGTCTACAGACCACACTTTGAGAACCACTGACTTAGATGATACCAGGCAGAGTCAACAGAATTTGGTGAGATGCAGCATTTAGAAGACAAAAGAGGTGAATAAGTCAAAGACAACTTCTTGGCATTGAGCTTGAGAGCCTGAAAACACAGTGGTGCTATCGAGAATGGACATGCTAAGTTGACTATGATGGTGAGTTATCCAAATGGAAATGTTTAACTAAGAGTTGGAGAAATAGGAATGGAATAGAGGTGAGTAGATATGGATGTACATCCAGATCTTTAGATCATAACAGAAGTGATAGTTATAAAAATGGATGAGTTTCTAGGAGAAAATACAGAGAAGATCAAATATGAAATATTAGGGACTACTGCTTGAAAAGTGTCCCCAGGAACAGGAAGGGAAGCCAAATAGAAAACAAATAATTTAAAAGAGAGGGAGAAAAAAGCCAAGTAATTAGGGACAAGAGGAGGGAGTTTCAAGGAAGGGATAAATATACAGCAAAATGAAACAGAAGATGAGGGCAGACAGTGAATCCTTGACTTTGGCAATAAAGTGATCAGCATATATGTACGCAAAAAAGACTGGCAGTAAATGTTCCAAAATGTTTATATGGTGGTTATTTCTGGGTGGTGGGATTACAAGCAACTTTTTTCTCTTTAAATTTGTTTGGTTTTCAAATTTTCTGTAATGAACATATGGTGGGTGCTTTTATTATCAAAAAACCTTTTTTTTCCCCAAGTCATCAGTGACCTTCAAAAAAGCGATTTCAGTGGAGGAGTAGTGACAGAGCCAGATAATAGAGGCGTCTGGAGTGAGTAGGTAGTGAGAAAATGGAGGCGGTAAAAGAAACGAGAACTAAGACAAATAGTCAAAGTTTTGCTTTTTGTTTTTAATGTAAAAATTAGCCATTATAGTGCTTATGCTTTCCCCTATTATTCTTTTTCTTTGTTTGATAGATATCTCAGATCTCAGTGAAGATATCTTGCTGTCCTCGTCTCAAAGTTCTTCGTCTGGAAGAGAACTGTCTTGAGCTCAGCATGCTTCCACAGAGCATCCTTAGTGATTCCCAGATCTGTCTCCTTGCTGTGGAAGGCAATCTTTTTGAGATAAAAAAACTTCGAGAACTGGAAGGCTATGATAAGGTACGTATTAGTGCACAGCAGTATTTCCAGACCACCACCTGAGAAAAGAATGGTGAAGTAATCCACATGAACATTCATAACTAATGTCAACAGGATTTGTTCCTCTCCATTTTGCAGATGGGTTCTAAGAATCAGCCAAATGTGGGTATATTGTACCAAGATGACTTTTCCCCTAGGCAGCTTATTGTAAAGCATCTTTGTCTTTTAGTGGATTCTTAAAAACAAAACAAAAAGTTAAACTACATGCTTTAAGTTTGCATTTAGATAGCTAGAAGATTTTATAGGAAGTGAAGGACCATATCCAATAAAACCAAAAATGAAAAAAATCACAAAAACTTAAGTAACAACTAAGCATATATTGCCCATGCTGAATACCAAGTATTTATTCTTCTTTCATGATTTTAGTACATGGAGAGGTTCACAGCCACCAAGAAGAAGTTTGCATGATGTTCTCCAGGAGCGTGGGAACTTTATAGGACACTGCCTTGGAACCTGTGTTGGAACCTGGCTGAATCAAAGGCTCCTGTCATTGTCAAGGATATCTACAGGAAGAAGATGACACTCCAGGAGATATTTCATTCAACAGTCTGTCCTTTTCAGGGCTCACTTAAGATAAGCTAGAAGAAAAAGGACCAAGACATAGGAAGAGTCCTCCATTTTGAATCATGGATAGGGCAGTGGACAGTGCTGATCTTTAAAACCACATTAGCTCGGCTTTCAGAAACTGGCAACTAGTTGTTATTTATACAGTGAGGGGGTGCTGCCTAGTAAAGAAATAGCTCCACAGCACAGCTTGCAATTTCACGTTTAGTTTCAAAGTGTGAGCTTTCATAAGGTCAACTGGCATTCCAACTCTGGGTTAACATTTCATATTTTTATGAAATTCAAATAGTCTGAGAGGCCGCTATGGTTAATTTAAGGATTTATGATTTTATTCCTGTCTATCAGTTCAACTGCAGTGTTTATCCTTAGAATTTAGAATGTATCTAAATATTGTGTGACTTTCTGTCTTGATTAAATGTGTGCTTTGTCAGAGATGCATCAAACAACACTAAGAGATGTTCCCCAAGGCTGCAGTAGCAAATTCTTCACTATTGCAGGTGCCTTACTGGTAGAGGTCTCTTAAGAGATAAAACCGTATATGCAAAACTTGTAAGATAAAAGGAATTTTAATGATCAAATAATGTCTTATTTCTAGTAACCCTTTTTGTATTTATAACTCTACTAATCAAATTACCTATCAAGAAACCATTGCTACAATATTTTAAAACAATCTATGTTTATCAAGTTTATTCTCTGAATGAGAGAATATACTAAATAAAGAATTTTCAATGAACTTTGGCTGGAAACAAGATTAATGCTTTAAAGGAAGAAGACAGAAAAACTTTAACCAGTAAGTGGTCCTTTGTTCTTTTAACTTTGAAAGTAACCTGATTAGGAGAATGTTTGATGCCCTTGTTGAGGTTATATGAGTAGTGAAAAGCCTTCATGTGACTGATGATCAACATTTTTGTGGTGGTCCAACCATGCTGCTATTAAGAAAATCTGAAGGTACAAAGGTAGATGATTTCAGATTGTCGCTGATAAGAACATTTAGAAAGCTACCACTCTGGTCATTTTATGAAATTTTCTCCTTGCCAAGAAGCTATGTTTAACCATATATTGCCAGTTCTTGTTTTACAAACCTAGTTTAGCCCTGAAGTCGAGAGATCACAAGAGCCTAGTATTTAATCTGTGTGAGGAAGTCTCTCTGACCGTAAATCGGGTCTAGGTATTCTCTTTTTCCCATATGGTACTTTTCTGTCTCTCAATTTGGCGTGTAGTAGGAGGTGCCAGTTTATCAGTATCAACTGAGGAGTTTCAGGTTTTTATAAACTTTGTTTAAAGCGTAATTTATTAATCTTAGAAATCCACTTAACAATTAACATTTCTCTAAATATTTCATTACTACTTCTCATCTAATAAATCAGAACTTATAAACTTAATAACATAAATGTCCCCATTTAATAGTTAATTGGAGTTTTAAAAAATCTATCCCTACTCCAGTGACACCTCCTCTAAATGAAGTGTTTGTTCGTAAACCACTTAAAATACTTAAGAGCCATACCTGGAATGACTGACTTCATTTGTAGTTTTTCTATAACAAGATGTGAGCACTGTACTAAATTCTTTAGACCTTGGTTTGGAAGTCAGTGTAGTATACCGAGTAAGGCCACAGACCTTGGCAGAAAGATCCAGGTTTGAATCCAAAGTCCTTCATTTACTAGCTTATGAATTTGAGCGATTTACCTCCTGCCTCTCAGGTATGTTATGAGGCTATGCTGAAAAGATACACAAAAGCATTCAGCGTAGTGCCTGGCACAAAGCAAGCCTCAATCAATTGTGCCGTTTATTTCATCTATAAGGCATAAAAGTAGAATTCAAGTTGTACAGAAATAGAAGGCTTGGAGCAGCACTATATTAAAAAGAATGATAAATAGATAAGGAACTTGAATATCAATCTGAGAAATACCAATCTGATTAGGAATGTAATTGGGATAAACCTAGAATTTTAGTAAGGGGGAGACCTAGAGAAAACAGCTTTTAAAGAAACTAAATGCAGTTAAGACGGCTGAGAAGCAGAAGTTAAGGGGGAGTCATAATCCACACATGACAAGGAAAGATCTAGCATCAAAGTGTGGAAACAAAGAATGAATGAAAACTGTGAAGGAAGAAAAAATAGGCCCAGCTATAAGGGATAAAGATCACTGTCAAAATAAGAATGGAAACTTGAAGGGGCTTACTGTTAGAAAAAAATTAAGTTCAGTGAGGGGTACTGGTTTTTAACTCTAGTTATAGGTTTCTAAGTAAAGTGGCCCCAAACAACTATAAATGACATATGGGATGACATCGACTTTAAATGATGTGTTTGTTCACAAACCACTTAAAATACTTAGAGCCACACCTTGAATGACTGACTTGTAGTTTTTCTTTAACAAGGATTAAGCTGGGAGAGACATTATTGAGAAAAAAGGGGGTTAGGTTCACTAGATAGTTTTATTCACATAGTCAAGCTGTCTGGATCCACTCCTGTATCCCTCAGTAAAACATGAAAACAGCCCTGGCACATGTGTTAGAAGTAGGAATCAATACCAGCAATTTTCTTGGAATGTCATAATGAGAAGAGAGGATTCCTAGCTTCTAAGTACCACCACTTCCTTGGCTTTTCCACTTCTCTTCAGAATTAGGTCTCATCTTGCAATTTTGATGATTCTAACACTTGGAAAAGAGGAAGACATCTAATTATTAAGCAAAAAAGAATGAAGATACTTTACATCAATTAAGTATTCCAAAGTAATAATAAATATTTAACTCAATGAACATTTACTAAGTCCAGGCACCAATTTGTGCCCCCAACCACTGAACAGATAAGGAAACATGGCCCAGAAGAGTTAGTATTATGCTCAAGGTCACACAGCTAGTAAATGACTGAAACAAACTCTGACCCCAGGTGGTCAGACTCCAGCACTTATATTTTTAACCACTTCAGTACTTTCAGAAGTATTAGAAACAAGTTTTCCAGGCAATGTTATGGAGAAAATAAGAAAAAGGCTTTAAGTCAACAGCTTCTATTTCTAGGGCATTATTGGCCTACTCCGTCCACTCTGTAGAGAGCGTTTTCTGTGGCCTCACACCTCACTCCTCTTCTTTCCCAGCAGCAGAAGCTTTGGAAAAGTTCATAACCTGGGCTCCATGGATGGGCTTTCAAGGCCTCCATGATTCTCACTTGTGCATGATTCACGTTTGTGTGTCTCTGTTTCTGAGAAGAGGGGCTGTGTTTTTTTCATCAATTCACAAAGGGATCCTTGACCCAGAAAGAGCTCCTCTAGAGATAACAGTAGCCTATCATTTATTAAGCTCTTATACTTGCCAGGCACTGTTCTAATTACTTATGTAATTACCACGTTGAGTCTTTGCAAAAACTCTATGAGGTAGGATTATTTATCCCCATTTTACAAAGAAACTGAGGGACACAAATAGGCTTACAGTCCTTTAGCCACAAGTGGCAAGGCTCAAGTATAAATCCAGACCATTTGGTTCCTTAGCTCGTGCTCCTAACCAAGACACTATACTGTGGGGCAGCATATTGATATCCTCAAGACTATTTCCATTAGACAGGACAGTAATAAAACAATATTTTTTATTGCCTTAGGAAAGGGATTTAAGTATAGCACAATCCCTATTGTTTTACACCTTTTTTCTTTACCCATTTACCATCATCTGCCAAACTACTCAGCCTAGCACAGAGCATTTCTATTACAGAGAGCCTCAGTCTCACTTAAACATTTTCCTCTTCAGCCTTTGAAAGTTCCTATGTTAACTGAATCTTCTCTAGGAAGTGGGCTGTAGTTCTCGCTCACAAACATTATCCTTTCAGTCACTAGTGTTATTTAAGCCCAGATGAAGTAGATTAGTAATGATTAAAATGAACCTCATCACAAATCACAGAAAGAAAAATCCTGTCAATTTTACAACAAAAATTAGAAAGGTGCTAAAGGCAACTTTCCAGGTTGGAGGCTTCTTGATTTATGGACCTTTGCTTTATTCAATTTGTTAAATAAGAGCTGATTAAATTGGTGCCCTAAAAATAATAGTTATGAAAACACATTACCCATTTGAAAGAACAATTCCACTGGTTAGTCACAAAATTTAATTGTAAAGATCAAGCCAAACCAATCCATATTAATAGCTCTGAAGTATGCAGATGCTAGTTTTTAAATAAAAGTGACAAATAAGAGTCAGTTTCTCATAACACCGTTCAGGATCTAAATATAACGTGATTCTGGACATGGTTCAATACACAAGGCTAAGAAAATGACACAATCTTCAAGAATTAAACAAAAGGCATAATTTTCCAAACCACTTTTAGTTAGAGTAAGTTTCAGCTTTAAAAAAAAAATGTCTAAAGCTATGTAAAACTCAAAGCAATCTATTTTTCTACCTGAGATCAAAATAAGTTCCTTTTTTCCTATCTAAATGTAATTCTTGGCATTGAGGTAAATCTGAACTCACTTGATAAACTTTGTAAAACTTTTCCAAAAAATTTTAAGCCCTGCTTTAGAGAGAAATTTCTCATGTTACACACATGTATTTACATATTTTTTTCCTTCAAAGACTAATAACAAATTATAGGCCTGATATGTACTAACAATATGAAAATAAAAAGCCATTTGTTTACACAAAGTGTTCCTGAATGGTATACTATGAAAGAGGATCACAGAATCTATGTACATATGTTAATTACTAAGAGTTCAGAAATTAAGCTCAATTTAAGAAAACTCATTCTATTCCTCTTTTAGGAGTAGAGGTTGCAAATTTGTGATGTGTAACAAAAATATTGTGCATAAAAGTTCCAAAACCAAGCTTCAGCCTAAATTGGAACAACTGCAACTTGAATTAAAAACTAAACCCAACCAGACACTGACTGTGGCTATGTAGCTTTCTGCTTCGGAGCCTGCAGGATTTTACTGAGGTAACAACCTCTTCTCTCTGCCCCTTTCCCCCTAGAAGACTACAGCTTCCTTCTTCATGGCTGTCTTGGCACATCTTGAAAGCAAAAGAACCTTCTAGAGCAAACAAGGAAGATGAAAAACCACACTGTATGTGATATGAAAACCAATCTCAGAGTATAAACTGAGGGAAAAAATATCAGACGGAAGGCTGAGCAGCACAGTCTGGCCTCGAAGGAAAAAATAAAATAAACAAATAAGGGGGCTTTTACTCCTCTGGCCCTTCTTACATTATCTTCCAATTAGAAAAGTGTGGGACCAAACTCTGAAAAGGTACTGACTCTGAAGGAGGAGCTACGGACGAAATCAGTGATAAAGCACAGCAGTAGCTTTAGCTCTCAATGAGTTTCTTTGCTCTGGCATTGGCATTCTCAATACGATCTTTGTTGGTGTCAGCCTGGGAAAAAAAAAACGGTATCATCAGCATTAGGTCACAAGACGAGTCACTCTAATAAAAGTTAAATTTTATACACCTGGAGTAATTGGCACTTAGAGAAAATTCAAGAAGCACTTGAAGTCACATTACAAAACTCATTTTGGGCAAGTGGGGACTAAGGTGCACCTGCAACAAGCCATGGTGTTTTCAATCACCTCACATGCGAAAGCTGGACAATGAATAAAGAAGCCCAAAGAAGAACTGATGCCTTTGAATTATGGTGTTGGTGAGGAATACTGAATATACCATGGACTGCCAGAAGAACAAACAAATCTGTTTTAGAAGTACAGACAGAATGCTCCTTAAAAGCAAGGATGGTAAGGCTTTGTCTCAACCACTTTGGACATGTTATCAGGAGGGACCAGTCTCTGGAGAAGGACATCATGCTTGGTAAAGTAGACAGTCAATGAAAAAGAGGAAGACCTTCAATGAGATGGATCAACACAGTGACTGCAACAATGGGCTCAAGCATAGCGAAGACTGAGGATGGCACAGGACTAGGCAGTATGCCGTTCTGTTGTACGCAGGGTCGCTATGAGTCAGAACCGACTTGACGACAGCACCCAACAACACCAACAACATTTTAAGCAACAGGTGACAGACTATGAAATTCACTTGAAAAAATCCTGGTGTATAAATATGACAAAAGTATAAAGAGGAACTTGAACTTGCCAGTATTTCATCAATCCTAAAACATTTTTTTTCATAGTTTAACATCTCTGAAACTGAGATGCATCTTATAATTAATGGCATTTTAGACACAATCAAGTATGATGAGAATACTCTTCTCTGCTATAGATCTGGACCTGGTAGATGTCCTCAGTCAGGGGCAGATTATCCAATAAGCAAGGTAAACACAGGCTTACTTGTCCTTACTTACTAATCTGTACTGAACAATTACACATTCTTTCACCACATCAAAGATTCTGCTTCTAGGTATGGCTGGCATCTGTCTGTCTCCCAACCCCACAGCACATTCCTACAGAATCAAAGCCTCTTTTCAAATTTACAATCCCTGACGGGCCAAATGACCCAGTAAGCACAGGTAAGCACAGGCCTACTTGTGCTTACTTATCTACAGTGAACAATTTCACACGGGTTTCACCACACCACATCGAGGTGTACCTTTCAGAAGCAGATCACCAGGCCTGTCTTCCAAGGCACCCCTGGGTGGGTTTGAACTGCCAACCTTTTGGCTAGAGTCGAGCACTTGCCCATTTTGTACCACCCAGGGGCTCCTAATTTGTTATTAGTTAAAATAAAAATGAAAAAGCTTACTTGTTCAGGAAAAAAAAAAAAGACTGCATTCAAAGGTTAGAGTCTAAACTTCATATACACAGGTTTAAGTAAAAGCACTTCATTCCAAGGTCGTGGTTTCAAATGAACCAACTGCCATCATCAAGAGATGAGAGGACTTGCTTATTGTTTTTCAAAGTGCTAGAACTATGGCCTCATCAAAACTGTAAGACCTGTAAGGACAGGATCTCAACCTCCTATTGTTTTCCCCCAAAGTACCTGCACAGATGGCAATTACTAAAACAACAGACTGGATGTCTCATTCTTCTGTGGTCATAGGAAGCTTTTACCTTTTCTATGATCCGGGGTATTTGTTGATTTTGAGCATCAATCTCGTTGCCCATGTCCAGGGCCAGGTTTTTTAGATTTCCCAGGATACTGCCCACCTGAGTCAAGTTCTCCTCCATTTCATCTTCTCTGGCATCATTAGTTATACTATCACGAAAAGATAGGTAATTCAGTGAGTTATAGAAGGACTAAGTCTGGATTTAGTTTTCATAAAAGTAAGTAACCAGCTATCCAAAATGACTCTCAGCACTTTTCAACATCAGCTACCTTTTTATGTTAAGTGTTAGACCCAAAAAACTTGTTAGACGTGCTAATTCTCACACTCTACTTGAAATCTACTGAATCAGAAGCTGGAAGTGGAGTCTAGGAATCTGTGTTTTAATAAGCTTCAAGGTGATTCTGCTGCACACTTAAGAACTACTGCTCTAAAACAGGTGTTAGAAAAGTATGGCCCCAGGGCCAAATCTGGCCTGCTGCCTGCTTTTGTAAATAAAGTTTTACTGGAACACAGCCACACCCGTTCATTTTATATAATGTCTACACAGTTGCTTCTGCCCTACAACAAAGTTGAGAAGTTGCAACAGAGACCATGTGGCTTGCAAAGTCTGAAATATTTACTACCTGGCCCTTTACAGAAAAATCTGGCTGACCTCTATTCTAGACGATACACTGTAAAACATTTTTCCTGTTTACAGAAGCAAAACATGCTCAAGTCTGTAATTTGGAAAGTACTAAAAAGTAGAAAGAAAAATTAATCCTATCATCTAAGGGCAACAACCACTGTCAATATATTGCCTCAAAAGGCAGACTTTAAAATGCATTTTTTAAATGGAAGAAATGCTGTTTTTAATTGAGGAGTTAAGGTTCAAGTACAGTTACATCCAATCTCCTGAGTGAGCCATTCAATTTAGGAAAGTGAGTAAAAATATCAGCAGGAGCTGGCCTACCGTTTAATGTATCCACCGCTGGCTGCTCCTGTGGCTGCTTGCTGAGGCTGGCCATTTGTCACCCGGCCTGGCTGCTTAGATACTACATTTTTAGCTGAGTTGTCTCCACCATCTGCCCATGTTGCCTTATAGGCCTTAGTAGACTCAAAGTTCTTCGTCCTGTAAAAGTCACGAGTGTAAAGACATACCAAAAAGCAGGAGAGGAAGAGTTGTAATTATGAATGCTTGTTATCTGAGGATGGCCCTAGCACCCTTAGCAGAAAAGATGCATATGGCTACATCTAGATTACCTATACTATTCTCCATGGAAACATAGCATAGGAAAAAGATGAATTATGTAAACCCACTGACATTAAAAAATTTTTTAAAGGTTCAAATACCTCTTTTATCAAATTTTCACTATGCTGTTAACAAGCAGAAAAAGGCAATTATTTGACTGTTCAGGTTTCCTGAGCCTCTGGCACTCTCGAGAAAAAGAGGAATAGACATGAGGAAAAAACCCCCTAGGAAAGGTGTTGCAGGATGCCCCAAGAGGTGCCTTGAGGTATCTCAGAGGTTGATGAGGGCTGGAAGAGTACACAGGTTGAGTGGGTAACATTTAGACCCCAGCTGCCCAGTCTCAGCTTGAACCAGAATTGTTCCAGCTGATCAGTTTTGTGAGTTAAATTTTTGCATTACATTTTAACAAAGGGTTCCTTAAAACAAGCATCATGAGAGAGAGGCATGAATTATTTCCAAACTGGACAGTCAGCTGATGAATAACTGCCTTGCCATACTGGTACCAAATTTGGTTTAGGTCTTTTTTCATTTAAGAGTTTACTTCTCTTCTTCATTAAAAAAAAATAATACTAAATCTAAGCCTTTAAAAAAAAAACAAGCCTATGCCTTTAGATGTAACTGCAGAGTCAACCAGCCAAAGCCAGAATTTACTAGGAAATTTATTACTTAAACTGGTGCAACTACAAGAAAAACAGCCTAGGAAAGTGACTATTAAATGGCTAGCACAGAAAAAGTGACACAAAACCTTTTTTTTTTTTTTTTTTTGTGCTTTAGGTGAAAGTTTACAGCTCAAGTTAATTTCTCATTCAAAAAGGTATACACATATTACAAAATTTTTATTGCTATTTGGCTGGGTACAGTCAGGTTTTCCACATATAATGTTAGTTTTTACTTTTCTATAAACAAAACGAAGTGGTATATGGCTGTAATGTTGACTTCCGATTTATTCTACATTGTCTGTTAATGAGTAAGTTTCAAAATGGCAAAGGCAGAGGAGACATTTTATTAAAACAGCGACTACTTCCTTAATAAACATCTGAAGACTCCTTTTTGGCAAAACGAGAATCAGATCTTAGACCTTCATCATTAATGTTATAGGAAAGGTGCTACTTCTATGTCTTTAAGAGGCACTGAAAAGGCAACAAATATATGAACATAGAAGAGCTAGCTAGTTCTCACTATGCCTTTCTTGGTTCCACTCTCATCATTGTATTTCCTATTTATGCTAATTGATTTATTAATTAATCTATTTATTAACAAGCCATGTTAAATCCTTCCTAGAACAAGGTGGGATATATATATTCTTAAAATCCATATTTTCCATATGATAGGTATCTGTTAGTTTGGTGAAACCAATTTCTATGGACTCTGCTAATATTAAGATAGAGGTCCTAGGCAAAATTCTAAATGAGACTAACAGCTAGTAAACAAACTATATTTGTTTGTCAGAAACTTAATAACCATGAGTATTAACAGAAGTAATATAAGAAACGTGGCACTGTTTTCAGAATGTCAGATTGTGGACAAGGTGAAGAGAGAGGGTGGGAATTCAAGTCACCAAATAATAAGACACTATCTTCCTGAGAGTCTTAGCCCAGAAAGAAAAATAGACAAGGCAGGATTTGTGGGTCCTGGTCTATCAAGAGATGTACATATGCTCCAATCTCCTTCCAAACCTTAAGAGATAAGATTTGAAATTCCTTAAACACTTAAGAACTGTTACTTCTACAATTAGATATAAGGGGCATAAGATGCAAATGAATTAACATGATAATGTAAATGAGTTTCAATTAAAGCATAGTGTATAAACAAAGAATCCAGGACTGGTTATTAAACCCTTCTCTCTTTAAGAAGACTGGATCTTTGAGGATGTTCTTCCAATATCAGAGAGAAAAAGTACAAAAAGCTGTGAAATTTTTTACAACTTTGCATTGGGTTGGCCATGTTTCTCTTCAAACCGGATGGGACAAACTGCATTATTTTTTTTCATGCAGTTATGGCATGTTCTGCATGTTTATGATGAGGTGATTTTTTTTCTAATGCTGTTGATTGCATTTTATATAAGCTTCATCCTCATGATAGCTCCACGTCTCTCTTCCAGCACCTCCACTCCAGGTAATGCCTTCTGGTTGCTCAAGACCCTGCCACTTGCCATCACCCCAGAACTTCCCCCACCACGTAGGAACTCCAGGGCTGACGAATGGGGTGACTCTAGGACTTTCCCCACACCCGTGAAAGTTACCTATTTTCAAGACATTGTCAGGTAGCTGCCCACCTAAATTCATCAAGTAAAAATGTTAAAAAAGTAATAATAATGGTTTTAATCTGATTTATCTTCCTTTCAAAGGATCCTGAATGCTCTAAAGGTACTATTTCCCAAACTTGACTGACCAACAGAGCAAACTCAGTGTTTCTGAATACACCGTTGCATAGGTTACACTCTGAAGATTCTGCTTCAGTATGTATATGGTGGAGCCTGGGAATCTTTTGTTGATTTCATTTAAGTTCCATAGGTACGGTAGCTACCCACCAGGGAAGAGAAACACTGTGGTAAGGGACTTCCAACCTGCTGTAGTGGGAATATTTTAGGCCACTCTGGTAGTCTTAGTATTTCTACAAGCTAGGACCTGCTAAAGGACACAGGAATTAATCTGGAGGAAGCAAAGGGACACACTGAGATTTAAAAGGAAAAAAAAAAAAGCCACAGGATTTGGAATAAAATGATCTGAATCCCAATACTACAACTGTTATTCAATAGCTCTAGAAGCTTAAGCAAACTTCAATCTCAGCATCCCTTTCCCTATATGTAAAAGCTACAGTGATAATAACAATACTTACACCTCACAGGGCTGTGAAAAGGCTCTGTTATTAATGGATGTAAAATTGCTTTGTACAGCAATGTGCAAATATTTTGATTCATTGGCTTCAATCTCAAACTGATTCTTAGTTAACAGTTCATGCCAGTAGGTACATATATTACCAAAAATTAAGATTAGTTAGCTCTACAGTAATTCAATATGAAATCACAGCAAGCTAACAGATGACATAATAGGAATAATGGAACAGATTGCAGCATATGTAAAGAGGGAAGCCTAGATATAAAATGATACTCATGAAGAGTGTGCTTCTTAGCTCAAGTAGATACGTGAGACTAAATGGGCAGCTCCTGTCCAGAGGTGAGATGAGAAGGCAGAGAGGGTCAGGAGCTGGTTGAATGGACACGGGAAATCCGGGGTGGAAAGGAGGAGTGTGTTGTCACAGTATGAGGAGAGCAATTAGGGTCACAGAACAAAATATGTAAAAATTTTTGTAAGAGAGACTAACTTGAATTGTAAACTTTCACTTAAACTACAATGATTAAAAAAAAAAAAAAGAAGTGGTCTGACATACAGACAAAGCTTTATGTGCCAAGAGGTTCATCCTGGCATGGTTTAGAATAGCCTCAAACTGGAAATAACTTAGAGATCTAAAAATCTGAGAATGGTTTAAATAAATCATGTCTTTCTTTCTTTATACAATGGAATCCAAGCACTAAAAACAATGTTAATAAAAATGCTGAAGAATGTCTAAAAAAAGAGGGCAGCCTTTACTGAAAAAATAAATTATTAGATATGGTAACTTCTCCCACCTTGCTCTACATAGGATTTAAGATGACCAGATTGGTAATTAATTCCTAGATTTGGTAGTGGTCTAAATCACAGAGACACTAAAAAATCATTAGAAATGATACTTTATTAGAGGGAATCCTGACTCTGGAACCAGAAGGGAGGAGGGAAACTTAATGGAAAATAGAATGCTGAAATCAAAGTAAGTTCAATGAAGAAAGAGATTCATTTAGCCTGAATTCCCTTACTTTTGATCAGAACTAGACTGTAGTAACACCCTACAAAGATCTACCTGTATAAAACTTCTTAGGAAGCCAGGAGAGTTACTTTCGTAATCTTAAGTTATTTAGCAAAAGCTTAGTTATAAGAGCCTTTAGTCAATATTATAAGACCCTTTGGTCAAGTCCATCTTTTGGCAAATAGCAGCCATCAAGAATGAATTCACTTTACATTACACACCACAGCACAGTTCTGAAGACAGTCTCCACCATTCACAAAGCCCATGCACATGCACAGAAACACCACTGGAAGTAGCATCACCTTTCCATAGGAGGTTAACGGCACAAACTGCGTCACAAGACAGCATCTTAAAGTCCCCTTTGATCAGTTACCGAGGAAAGCTTCTGGTGTTAAATCTTCAGTTTTTAGTAAGCAGATTAGAAAGGAAGAGATTAGGTGAGAGAACAAAATGCAGAAAACAATAAATACAGCAAAACAGAACAGAAGCAGTTTAAAATTTTAAAAACATAACACATTTAAATTCCTGCCTGGTTTCATAGAAACAACCAACATCTGAGAATCTAGGTAAAAAGAAAAACTCAAGAGAACAAAGTATTTAAGCCAGAGCACATTTCATTGTTCCTAAGAACATGTGGGTTATGATATTCTTTCCTAAAATTATGAAAGTTAATACGAAGAGAAGATAAACACTAATGGGGAGGCTGGGAATTTCCTCACTTTCTAGCCAGTCACTCTTTCCTTGATGATTACAGATTTCTCTTAATCACCTCTATTATGTATTTTATTTGCATTGTAATTTTTAAAAATTTGTTTACATGTCTAATTCTCACACTAGTCCACAAATTTCTCAAGGACGTTCATTCAACAAGTATTTTTTGAGGAACTACTAGGTATCAGGAACCATGTAAGGCACCAAAAAGAGAGTAATGTTCATCAAACAGCCGGGCCGGAGATACACCTTATTCATCTTTACAGGAGGATGGAGGAAGCACTCAAACGTTGACTGAAATATAATTCAGTATTTATCTGAATCAT